AGGATGGGGCCAAGGGGGGTGATGTAGGTTATAACAGTGATGAGGATGATGAGGATGATTGAAATTAATTGAAATGAAGACATAGTTGTGGTAGCATTGTGGATAATAGATCAAAATTAGGATATTCTTTGGTAAATGTTACAGTATTAACAGTATTAACAGTATTAACAGTAAAAACACTACAGTGACGCTTAGGTTGTTAAATAATTAAGCCTTTTCCCTCCTATTTCAGAGAAAATATTAATATTGTTTTGAGCTACTAGACGCAGTTGCACTTGATGACAGAAGTGTTCCTCATGCTGCCTTAAATGCCCTGAAGAAATTCTGAACACTGCAGTGATCTAGTCTGAGTTTGGAATTTCCATGATATACAACCCCCCAACATTTTAGTTTAATTGCTGTTAATTTGTCTCAATTAGTGTATAGTGTGGTGGCATACATAGCATTTTAGGAGATCTCTGTCTACAGACTAATAGAGAGGCCTCATGAGCCTAATCAGTGTAAACTGCTTTGTGGGTTCTTTGTCAGGTGATGCTTTAGACTCACGGAGTAGCATGAGAGTGTAACTTTCTGAAAGACTGAAGAATCTGGCTTTTCTTACTGTATATTTTAGTGGAGAATGCAATGCACTTTGAAGAAAAAATGCACTTCTACCCTATAGTATTTGTTGAACTATGTTATTTCTTTTTTTTTTTTTTTTTTTTTTTTTACTTTTAAACTGTAATCTACCATGAAGTGCCTCATCCAAAGCTCGCTGGAGCAACTTTCCATTGGTTTTAACAACCTTTGGCTGAGACCCACGTTGATCAAAACTGATATATTTTTTTTTTGGTAGTCATGTCATCATTATCCCATGCCTAAAAATACTGCCTTATGTAGTGAAAATGTGTATTTTATCTCCCTGAAATATTTTTCCTTTACTGCCTTAAAATACAACAGAAAATGAAATCCTGACTGCACTGGTAAAATTCATGTTGACTTCCATGTAAACCAGGATCTGCGCAGAAGTTCTTAGTAATACTCATTTGCATGAAGGTGAGCATCAGCCTTTGTCTTTCAACAAACTTGCCAATGAAGTGGCCAGTTTATTAGTTGGCTGAAGGTATACTCAAGGAAATTCCTATTCCTCACATGCAAATATGAACTTTTTCATTAATATAGTCTATCATACAATTTTTTTCTCTAAACACTCAAATAAGTCTTTCACTATGTTTTACCTTTTGCTTTTCATTTTCTGAAGAATCTGTAATAAAAGCCTTTTATGATACATACCTTAATGTACAAAGGCATTTGGTCTCCAAGAACAACCTCTGAATGTTTCTGACTACAGCTAGTATCCACAGTATCTTCCAGATGGATAAAATTAAGTGTTCATATCTCATCCTTTCCTACTGAATCCAGCAAGTTTTGGAAAGAAACTTCGCTGTTTCACATTCATCCACATGTGGCAAGATACCTGTACAAGTCTCTTCTTAAGGTACATGTCAAAAAAGAGCTTAGCTAATATTATGAAGTATGCGAAACATTTGTATCAGGCTATGAAAAATATAACCCTTTTCTTAACTTAAAAAGGTGTGTGTGTGTGTGCATTTGTGTGCATGCATAGATATAGAATATGTATATATTTCATGCACAATTTATAACACAGCTGGAGAAAGTTGTTCAGTTTTCAAAATGAGAAACATATGGTCTTTATAAATTGTATAAGAAATATTTTGGATAACTAAGTGTTGTGATTTATTTTACATAAACAAATAAGGGAATTTAAATTAAAAAGATAACTGTGTGCATGGGACATAAAGCTGAAAAGCTGACTATGCTTATTGCTATTTTGGTTCTGGTAAGTGCTTCTAGGTCCTTGAATTTCTTTCAACTATATTAAAAACTGGATTTACTCCAGAGCTACACTTCTTAACTAGGACAGTTAAAAAACTAAACAAGGACTGAGTCAGTTAATTAATTTAAATGAGATTACAAATCAGAAACACATTACGTAATGTTGATTTAATTACCATTTTTTATTTACCTAATTAAAACACTCTGAAGAACAGTTCACAGTCTTGACAATGGCCGGTTGGGTGACTTGGCAGCTGCAGATCAGAGTGCTGGTGAAAGGGGAGGTGAAGCGGAGCCTGCCGTGACCCGTGCTGCCCCAAACCGTCATGTGCTCTCCCTGCCAGCCCACGTGGCAGGCACTGCGGTGGCATGGCCTTTGCCAGGCAGAGTGTGGTGATGCTTCCCAGCCACAGACCCCGCTGCAGGGATGGAAAGCATGCCCCATGGGATGTATGGGCTCTCGGCTGAACAGCGGGAGTTTGCCCTGTTGTGCCAGCCACAGGCGAACTTGTCTGTTGTGGAAGGGTATACGGAGTGTGGTGAAAGGGGGTGGCCAATGGATGAGTAGCTCTTGCTGTCCCCACTCCAGAGCAAACAGTTTCAAACCAAAATGAAAACAGAGCCCAGCTTCTCCCTGCTGGGTTGTCTCTCTCCCAGAGACATGGAGGCTTTCCTGAAATGGCAGGTCTGCTTAGGCTAAAACCTATCTGACTGAGCTATGGGCAGCACAGATCAATATGCTAGCTTAGCTTTCTGGCATCAGCAGCTCTGTTACTCACTGTCTTTTTCAGGTAAGTATTCCCTTTCATTGCAGAAACTTTTCCTAGTAGCCAGTCTAAACCTTGCCTGGCACAGCCTCAGGTGTTTCCTCTCATCCTATCTCGTTACCTGGGAGAAGAGACCAACCCCCACTTCCCTATAGCCTGTTCCCCTCTGAGCCTTCTCCAGACAAAACAACCCCAGTTCCCTCAGCTGTTCCTCACAGGACTTGTTCTTTAGCAAAGGAAGTGATAAGTTTGGGTATTTCATTATATGAAATCAGCCAAAATTTTCAGGGAAAGTATTTCTGTTAAATGTAGTGGTCTGTGAAAATGTGGAAAATACATACCCCCACTTCAAGTTAACATAGGGTGAAAACAAGAGTCAACACTGATTCCATTTCCATGTTTATAGCATCACTTCAGTGAATACTTAATAAAATAAAACACTTTCAGCTCATTTACATTGTAAACAAACTGTTGTATCACTGGAGTTAGAGTGAATAATGGTCATAAAATTGTATAATAATTCAGGGTCATCAGCTATAGAAAGGATAGACAGTGAAAGACATTGCTTTTGCAAAATGAAATCATTAAACTTATTTGGTAAGTTTATCTATTCAATCAATTGTTTTGTCAGGGTAAAATAATGTAAGTAGTAGAAGGTAAGTGTAGTAAAATTAGAAAAATAATAATTAATGGTGGTGGTTTAACAAACAGATGAAATTGCTTATTTGCTTTATGGGCTTTTGCTGGTCACGTTACTTACTTTGTAAGAGGGAAATATCTTGGGTTTTTGTTGCCATGAATGCTTTCCTATCATGATGATGTTCTCAAAGTCTTTGAAAGATGAAGAGTTGATTTGGAAAGTCTTTTCCCTATGGGGACATCCCAGCAGTGGAGCAGGAAGGTTGGGCCATCTCCATCCTTGCAGGGTTTCATGCCCTGACTTCTTCATAAGGTTCTGAGCAGCCAAATGTGATGCCATGGCTGAGCCTTCCCTTAGAAGGGGTTGGGACTGGAAGCCCAGCTCCCCACCAGACCAGCCCCAGTCCTGGAATCCCATGATTTTCAGGGGTACAACCATTTGACTCAAGTTTGTGGTGTCAGATCATGTAATCCTGATGGATGGCAGTCTGGGAGGTAGTTGTGGTTCTTGCTCATGGTAGTGACTGTCAGTTTTCAAGTCAGATGCTACATAGGTATGTGAAGGCTTGAACAGCAGCAAACTGATACATGGTACCACATGTCTCTGGTCTTTTATCCTCCCCCATACCCAAATCATGGACTATCAAAGAACAAGAGTGTATTTACATGCTAGTGAATGATTAAATTAGTGTCTGTCAGCTGAGATTACCTGAGTGCAAAGGCTGTTGCCTAGCTTGTAGCAAATGAAGAGTGAAGTGTGTTCGTTGAAACCATGGAGGGAGTTTATTTGGTTGGTAAAAAAACCTATGGAGAATCTGCTTATTTCTAAGACATGGCTTAAGAAATTGTTTTCAAGGCCTTTAACGTTAAGCTAATGCAGAGAGCCTTAAGATCAAAATTCCTTATAGAGTGTGGGGCATAAGGGAGGTATAGCATAACTTACTTTTTAAAAACAGTATCCTCTTTTATGAGCTGAAAAATGACTACAGAGGTGAGCAGTACTAAAAATCCCTCAGTAAGCTGGTGAATAGCAGTGCATCTTTCTTGGTTTTTTTTGGGTTGTGTGTGTTCTTCCTGCTCCTGTTTGTCAAAGCCAAGGTGGTGCCAAGAGAGCATCTTGAGATTCACTGGATGGCAAACAATCGGCTTTTTCCCTCTTCTCTGCCTTATGAGGCCAAGAGTGATGTACCATGGCAGCACCTTTCTTCTAGTGTACAGCAGGGGAAATGGATGGTTTTTTTCTTACCAGCAGCAGGCCATAGCAGTCAGTTTTACTTAACTGGCTGCAGTGAGTACTGACTGAACTCATATATTCACTGGGATTGACCCCAGAAATGAAAATATGGGAAACAATTCAATATAAAATATATCAGCTTTCTGACTCATCCTTTTATACCATCTTCTAAAACAAAGAGTAATTTGAGATGAATTTGAAAATCCTGGTGGGAGCCATGTTGAATCATAATAAATTACACATAAACTGTACCAGGGTTACATGAATATCTACCAGATAAGAGTAAAGGCTGTTCATCCATGGGACGATAACTTGTCAAGCCATTGACTGTTGAGCAGTCAGCACCAAAAAGAGCAGAGCAGAAGATATGCACACTGTAGTTGTGAGGTGTACATGAAAGCCATTCTGTGGAAGTGGTATGTGCAGATGAGCTTTTGCTCTGTAGGAAATAAGTACTTCTCAGATCTGTGTGGAAGGATTTTTTCAGGAAAAGCACATTGACAGTAAAATTTGGGAGGCAGGTTTCTGAATAGGACTTACGTTTGAGAGCTACGTAAATGGCATTGTTGAAAATTTAATTTTTATATCACATTTACAGTATGGGGTTTTATTTGCTACAGAGCAAAAGTTCACCTGTACAGCCTTGCTTAGAAATTCTAGCTTAGGAAGTGTATATATACTTTTTAAATGTTCACAGAATTATTTGGTGGGAAAATTGAATGCAAAGCGAGCTAGACAGACAATGAGTCTGGCTTATGTATTTCTTCATCACACTGGAAGAAAAGCCTGCAATTTTTAAACTCAGGACTCATGTTGTTAATTAATGATCTTGTGCAGATGAAGACAAACAAAGATTTAAAGTGTCTTAGCATATCTTTTGGTTCCTTAGTTTCTGTGGCTTTCCAAAAACGTGTCTTACTCCCTCTTTAGAAAAACATTGCTCCAGTGTCTCTTTTAAATCAATGTTCTGCTTATAAATTAATTCATGTAATTTTTTCCTATAATTATCATGGTTCTCTTGCATTTTGCAAGGCTATTTGCATACAATCGAATCAGGAGAGTGCTTTGTAATTACTGACACTGGCAAGAGAATCACATGGTTCACAGGCCATTCTAAGGTTTGTGTCTTTCATCCTGAGAATGAGATGCTACTCTGCTTTAAGTGCAGATTTACATAGGTTGATAATTCTTGTGCAGAATATGATTTTATTTTTTTGCTTTCTTAACTGCTTTAAGTGAAGAGTTAGGTAAATTGGTTCTCATATTCAGCTTTTAATGATTCTTTGCTTTCTCAAGGTCATTGAGAACCTGCTGAATATATTAGTAGCATCTACTGCTTAAAACACTTTGTGAGAATCAATCTATAAAAATTGTGATTGATATGTAGTAAACATGAAGCTAAGTCTGACTTTCAAATTATAATAATTAGTGAACTGCTTATCTCTATAATTGAACATTTCTTTGCTGAGTTTCTTACTATGCTATGAAAAAGAATTATTTAAAGCACTATCCATCTTTAAATCCTGTATTCAGAATGTGACTGCATTGAAAATGAGAAAGTAGTAGTAAAGGTAAATTGCTGTGCAAGATCTGAAAAATATTCTTCACTTTGTGAATCTTTTTAGTAAATTTTAAAGGGAGAAAATGTCAAAGGCTATCTTCTGGTAGGCCTCAGTAATCCCAATTCAGATTTCTGTGTTTCCCAAGCTAAACTGTCCAAGCTTTGTTGGGTGCATCTGCTACCAATTTGACACCTCATTTAGCCACATGTCCGCAGTAGTTTTACACTATAACAATTGCTGTGTAAAATTAATCCTTTCTGATAATCTTAATTTCAATAATGATATGTGTAGTTTGCAGAAGCAGAGAATGCCTATTAGAACAATATTAAAGTTCACCCCCTGCAGGGTGAGCCTTCCCATTGCAGCTCAGGAAGGACATCCAGATGAAGGTCCGTATACAGAGCAGCATTGTATTTTTTGCATTTCTTATAGCTGATAGAATTTTCAAATTAATGTGATTTGATGTTTTAAAGGGATGTGTTGTGTCTTACCATGAAAAGAAACAAGCATGCTGAATGGCTACATATTGTGCCATACAGTGGGACTCTTGAAAGAGTACCAAGGGCCTAAACCATGGAATGTGCAGAATCTGACTGTGAAGCCTGCCCTTCATTCTTCCTACCCAGAGTAGAGGAAGACAGAGGAAATTTCATGTGAAATTCATTATCCAGTGTGTATTTTATTATGTGAAAGAGTGATTTCATTCCGTATTGGAAAACTTAGTTGCATTTTTTTAGTATCATCAGGACTGGTTTTCACATGTGCTTTGATCTTCCAGTACTCTGGTAGATCCCCTGATGCTTGTCTTCTGTGACAGATTAATTCAGTAGAACTTGAACTGTGAAATAGATTTCCATCATAGATAATATATTCTGTAGAATCAAGCTTGTGTTAATCTCTCTGCTTGAGAAGTATGTGTGTCAAGCTATGTTTGCTAAGCTACATAATAGATGGCAACAGAACTTGTGGTAGGTGAAGGGAATCTCATTCTAGGTTGAGGGCTACACTGGCTTTAAGAAGAAGTGATGAGGATTGAAGGACAAGTATGTATTGATATGTACTTTTCTCCTTTTTAATATTTTCCCCTTTAATTTAGACACTGCAAGCAGCAATGAATTAAAGAACTTTGACTTCCCTCTGGGATCCTTTTGGTAGTAGCAATTTCTGCATTGCTAAAATGCAATATTTTGGTGGTCGTATGTTACTAACAAGCACGGATACATTTAAAAAATGGTCTTTTAAATTTAGACTGTAAAACTGCTCCAGTTTTAGATACCTGTATACAGAACAAATGGCTGTGTTTCATTTAATTTCCTATTCTCATGGCTTACAAGAGTGTCTGTCATGTTTTAGTTTGGTAATAACAATTTCTTGCAGTAAAGCAGTTTTTTTGTTATATTATTTCGTTCTATTATTGGTGCAGGAATGCAGCAAAAAGTAGGTAATTTTAAAAGCAAGTGCTTTTATGAATAACAATTTATTATTTAGTGTGTTTGTTAACATCAAATTGTGTTCCCCTCTTGATTTGTTAAGTGCATGTATCATGAAAAGAACACTCTTTGAAGTCTACAGGTTTTGGATTTTGTTAGTTTTCAGGTTACATAATCTTCATTTCACAATGGCAATTCTCACAGACTATCACAAAGCCTATATTGTATTAAAATTGACAGTCCTACCTTCAATGCAGTCCTGAGTCTGTGGAAGCAATGTAGGCCTTTCTGCTTTAAGGAAAGTGTAAAGAAACAGGACTTATCACTGCAAGCGCCATTAGTTGCCTAATCCATTGCATCTTTCTGGTCAATGCTTCAGAAGAAACTACTTCTGCTTTGCTGATTATGCAATATTATGTTTGGGGGATGGAGGGAAAAGGAATGAAAAGGTACCCTTGTAGATGTGTTTACAACTTGAGTGTTTACCTGAATGTCTTTCTTGTCCTTACTCAGTCATCTATGAGTTTCTCTTATTAGGATCATTGCATCCTTCACAATGTTTCTGCTTCTGCACAAAATGGGTTACATACAGTGTTTCTTCAATGTAGAAAATCAGGGAAATGACCTTTAAAGAACAAAGTTAAGTATTAATCTAATACTGAAGGGGCGTATTAAAGGTTGTGAGATACTTTCAAAACAAATTAGTGAAACATTTCTTTCATTTCTTTATAGATTCTGGACAACCAGGAAGTCCAAGCCACAATGATCCTGCCAAGAATCCACCAGGTAAATATAAGTTCCAGAACATGTGCATCTAACATTGTTTGAGAACAAAGATACTACTGTTAATAGTTAAAAAGAGCATATTGGTCAGCAACCTATTTTGCACGCATAAGTACATATAATCAGGACAAGCTGTGATTACTTTAGTACTTTCAAGCTGGCAATGACTCAATTGTGGTTTCATCAACATTTGTTTAATCTAAGGAATTCTTTTTTCACTTCATGGTTTTTACAATTTTGTAAGTAAGAATGGGCAGAGGAGTAAGGAGACAATATCCCAAATTACTTTTATAGAAGTCTTCAAATGCTATAATTTTTATTTTATCTTGGACAAAACACAACTGACCCACCTCTGAAGTCTGAGATGTGAAGTTATTTTATACATGCATTGTAAAATGCAAATATGTTCATTTATTATATTTTTCATATCAGCGTAGAACAGTTCTTGAACACATTGTTAATGGGTCATGCTAATGACATTTGGAACTTTTGGGGAGAGATGTCAGTGTAAACAGTCCTTTCAATGGTTCTCTAAAAATAGAAACTAAAGAGAAAAAAACCACGCCACACTGTTTAGACCAGAGATTCTTTGTATTTCATGGAGTTGTCCTTCTAATCAATTGGCCTGTGCTAGTAAATCTTGTAAATCTTTGTTGTTTCAAGAAGTGTTGTCGGGGTAAGATAAACAAGTCTGACAGCCATTCTATCACTTCTCAGCGAGCAAGGCGTGACTCCTGCCATCACCGTCATGCTGCATCTTCTGATTTAATTTCTCAGAAGTGGTTCTCTTGAAATAAGTTGCAACTAACTCAGTTGGCTCTTTTCCTAAATGCAAAATGAACCCCACTCTGACCACGAAATAATTGTGCAATGCTGGCTGATACATAAATATTTATACTTTCTGGATCTGTCAGAAAATTAAGGGAAGCAGCCTGCATTGTGGCTGTACAGTTTTGTACTATGCATATGATGGAAGTGTCATCATACTTTGTATCGTCAAACATCATGTGTGTTATATGTGAATACACGAAAGTGGGAGAACCATCTTAGATCATTATACAAAAAGTTGTATTTCTGTAATATAAAAGCCAGAAACATATAATGGAAGATGCAGATATGTTTTTTGCTATAGGCTTCCATGCTCTTTCTTTCCAAACTGTGTGGGATGTTACGAGTAGGCTTTTATTTCTCTTACTAAATTTGTGACATATATTGTTTAGGATAGAGGTTTAAAAATGCACAATGGTAAATTTACACCTAAAACAAGCCTGCAAAATTTCCTCACAGATAATCACAGTTTTGTAAAATTTGGAGCATTTAGCTATAGAGCATTTATTTTTGTTTTCGAATATCTCTATTTGTGAGTGTGAGGAAAGCCAAATACATTACACCCCTTATCATTTTGAAGGATCTTTGTAGCCTCTGGGTTCGGGAAGCTGAAGGCATGTTTTAAAATTCTGTTTCTAAAATACCAATTAGCATTTGGAGGATGAAGGTAGAAGGACATATTTCACTGCTGAGGATTACATTCTCTAATGAGTCCAGTCTTAACCCCCAGGTACTAGAGTGTGGTGCAGTATTACTGCCAGAAACAGAGCTTTCTTTTGGCAGCCTTGTGGGGCAAGACAAGATGCCCTTATGTTTAACAAACTCCAGTGTCCCATAAGATAGAGGGATATAAAGGGCAGAGAAAACCGTTTGCTGATTTCATCCTGAAATTTTCTAGTTGAAATCTGAGCGTAACACTTTCTCATGCTTTGGAGTCTCTGCTGGTAGTAGTACTCCTTTATCTGCTGCCAAGTGGGGACAGAAAATGGAAGCTGTGCTTTGCTTCCCTTGAAACCCTTAATTTAAGCAGAGACATAATTGAATGTCATCTGTATATTTGAGGATACATGAACTTCTATCATCATTTAGCTTTGCTGTGTAATACTGTTTTGGGGTTAGACTGGCAGGAAGAAAGTGTTGAGGTTTGTGGAACTGCAGAATACAGGACTTCTAGGCTGTGCAGGAGAATGAGAGGGAGTTGCACTCCGTTCAGCTTGTCTGGGAAAAGGACTGCTGTCCTTTCTTATTAAACTTCACATGAGTCTTATTATTAGAACCAGGCAGTCACTTCTGTCAGAGCCTCAGAGTATATCCACTCTGAGGTTTGTTTTCAGTCCCAGTCCAAGAGCACTTTGACTGGCAGTGCCAGGAGGGTTTGTTCTATTCTGTTTTGGTCTCATCCCTGTATGTCAAGGAGCCAGGGTGCTGGCAAGGGATAGGTGCTGTTAGCTTTTGTATGCCACTACCTTCTCAAAGACATTGCCAAGGAAGAGGGCTTTGGAAACTGAGTTGGCAAAGTTGCTGGTGTTAAAAGTGGGTTTTTCTAGGTTTGGCTAGACTGTTGCATTCTTTAGGGTGTCTGGTAATTTGCTGTCTTAACCATGGAGAGAGGGTAATGTCACTTGCCAAACAAAAGAACATTAAGAGTACTTGCTGGAATTCTTTACAATATGTTCCTAAAAATACACTGAATACTTAGATACCATAACACAGTACTAAGATGGTGCTGCTTGTGGTGAAAGCAGTATGTAGTTTTTGTATCAAAATCCAGGGATATCCTCCTCTAAGTTTTATTTTTCAATAACTTTCATCTTGTATATTTCTAAAGAATGAAACTTGCTTTTCTGAGAGCTGGGTTGTAAAGGTTACTTCTCTGCAGGGGTGGCTATGTAAATTCCAGACAGATAGATGAGCTGAGCTGAGCTGAGCTGAGCTGAACTGAACTGAACTTACACAAGCTCGAACACTGCTGTTGTCCGCATCACTCATTAAGTTTCTGGAATCTAAACGTTTATGTTATGCTAGCACGGTGTTATTTATTAAAAGTTTACATGGTTTCAAAGCGAGAATGGATGTGTTTGAGGGTGACTAAACAGATAGAGGCTCACCTGCATGGTAAGTTGTAAAAACTAAAATACTTGCAGCCTTGCACACTATTAGTCAAAAAACCCAACCAGCAAACACTTCTGGCCTGCTCTGCTTTTCACTGTTCTGCTGGGCATCTGCTCAGGGCTACTGCTGAAGTCAGGCTTTTGAAGTGTGGCGGTTTCAGCGTAATGTTGCATTATTTGCTTCCTGCAAGTTCTGTAGGTCTTCTATGTAGCTAAAGAAAATGTAAAAAATAAGCCTATCTGAACATGTGTGTCTTGAAATACCTGCAAAGTTGTGGGAGGATATGTACTGGAATGAGTGATCTTTCAGTAAGTTCATCTGTTAGGCATACAAAAATTATGAGGGTGAGTAGAAAAACATCTAGAACTACTTGTAACCTAATGATACTGACACCAGCCATAACAATTTGTTCTCCAGTGGTACAACTGTTACAAGCCAGTTCTTCTAGTAGACGATTTTCTAGGTTTTGTTCTGCTTTATTTTTTTTTTTCCCTTACTTACTGCCTGCTGGCCACAGTTGTTTTATGTTAATAAAGTTAGTTGCTACCTGCCATTGGTATGAGGTTGCTGCTTGGCAGACTTTATTTATTTAACAATATAAATTAACAGCATTAACAAAGCTAAACAACTGTTTAACACCAGTTGTTTAGCTGGTCAAAGGAATATTTTCATATAAATTTGCAACCTCTGTAACATCAGTCAGAGCTGAATGAGGAATGAAGATGACTCTGTTTTGAGCCTTTGTGCTGACGAATATTCCCTTATTTCTATGGGGTGACACACTTTTAAACAGAGAGGCTGAGAAACTATGTCTTCACCTTTCATTCCTTCTCACTGTTCTCTTCTTTCCCCCACAGTAAACTGTGATATGTTGTCAGGGAATCCATCTAGTGAGAAAATCCTTAATCTGAATGAGGCATAGGTGTGTGAATCCCCATCCCCAGCTGCATTGCTCTGGAATTGGTTTTACCCTTCTGTTTTAATCAGAAATTTTATGCTGGGAACCATTTCCAAAGAAGGTTTGTGTGAAATCACCATCTATTAATTTTTTTTTTTTTCCTAATTAAAGAGGGTGTTGCCAAGAAGCTTGCAACCAGCCTCACCTGTCTCTAAATATGCAAAACCTTTCTTGCAGCTGTAGAGCCCCAAAGGCTTTTCTGTGCTTTCATATGGGCTAGCAGCCATAAGGAGAACATTCTTTTTGGATCAAACTCTAAGTAATGTGCAATAAATTTGCCTGTATATGACTGATTTAGAAAGAGGTATTTCAGTTTGCAGAGAATGTATAGTTTCAGAAATAATCTCTGAAGAGTAACATGTTCTCAACCTTTGCTATCTTTTGGAAATGCAATAAGCAAATGAGTAAGTTTTGAATGACTCAGAACACAGATGGTTTCATTATTTTACTGTATTGCCAGTTATCCTCTTGTGGATGGGGAATTAGCCCCCTAATTAATAGGAATTGAAGAGATATTGCCTGTCCTTGTCATTGTAAGTGGCTTTTCTTGTGGAAGCAATGATGCCGTACCAGCAGTTTGGAGATTCAGACAGAACTGTGTTTGAACAAACATATATTCTCATCGCCTTTTCAGCATGGGAGTGAATATTCTGAAATGCTTGCTGTTTCCCGTATGCCTGCAGCCATGCCATCGCAGATAGTGATCTTCAAATAAAACAGGGTTGGGTTTGGTCAGGGCTTGATTTTCTGTGGAGTTCTCCCTTTCGCAAATGCTCTATGAATTAGTAATGCCAGTGATTGAGAGGTGATGCTCTTCCTTGTCAGCCTCTCAGCCCTGAGCCAGGTGGGGCATTCTGAGGGCAGTGTGCAGCTGTGCTATCTCAACAATTAGAAGCCTGTACAGATCATACAGCCTCTTTTTCCAAGAGGAAGAGTTTTTGGAGTTGTGTACTGGTTTGAAATCTGGTGTGGGTAATTGCTACTATCTACTGGCTTAGCATTACCTCTGAATTTTCATTTGCATTAGCTATCCTTCTATATGAACTTACAGTATAAATAAATTATTCTGTGATTACTTCTGGTGTCATTGTGTTCAATGGTGAGT